CCTAGGGTGATGATATTTGGCCAGTAACATGCTGAGATGAAGGGCTACCAAGTTTGTTCAAATAAATGACCTTGATTTATATTCAAGGTCACTGGAGTCGAATATCTTTAAAACCTTTAAACAACTTCTTCTGCATAACCAAGAGGCCTAATCTGATGATATTTGGCCAGTAACATGCTGAGATGAAGGGCTACCAAGTTTCTTCAAATAAATGACCTTCAACAATTTTCAAGGTCACAGGGTTCAAATATGTTAAAATCTTGAAACAACTTCTTCAGAATAACCAAGAGGCCTAGGGTGATGATCTTTGACCAGTAACATGCTGGGATGAAGGCCTACCAAGTTTGTTCAAATAAATGACCTTGATTTATATTCAAGGTCACAGGGGTCAATTATGTTTAAAACCTTTAAACGACTTCTTCAAAATAACTGAGAGGCCTAGTGTGATGATATTTGGTCAGTAACATGCTTGGAGCTTGGATAAAGGGCTACCAAGTTTGTTCTAATAAATGACCTTGATTTATATCCAAGGTCACTGGAGTCGAATATCTTTAAAACCTTTAAATGACTCTTTCTGAATAACCAAGAGGCCTAGGGTGATGATATTTGGCCAGTAACATGCTGAGATGAAGGGCTACCAAATTTGTTCAAATAAATGTCCTTGATTTATATTTAAGGTCACTGGGGTCCAATATATTTAAAACCTTTAAACGACTTCCCCTAAATAACTGAGAGGCATAGGGTGATGATATTTGGCCAGTAACATGGTTGGATGGAGGGCTACCAAGTTTGTTCTAATAAATGACCTTGATTTATATTCACGGTCACTGGGGTCACTGTGACCAACCCCGATCTGGGTGTGTATTTTTCCTCTCCTGTTACAGTGGTGCCGGTGAGGTGATGATATTTGGCCAGTAACATGCTGAGATGAAGGGCTACCAAGTTTTTTCCAAATAAATGACCTTGATTTATATTCAAGGTAACAGGGGTCAAATATGTTTAAAACCTTTAAATGACTTCTTCTGAATAACCGAGAGGCCTAGGGTGATATTTGGCCAGTAACATGCTTGGATGAAGGGGTACCAAATTTGTTCAAATAAATGACCTTGATTTATATTCAAGGTCACTGGGGTCAAATATATTTAAAACCTTTAAACGACTTCTTCTGAATAGCCGAGAGGCATAGGGTGATGATATTTGGCCAGTAACATGCTGGGATGAAGGGCTACCAAGTTTGTTCAAATGAATGACCTTTGCCAATTTTTTCTGAATTACTTTACACTTTAAGTCAAGACGCTGATATTTTGCCTGTAGCTTTATTTTAGTCCACTTTTAAGGTTACAATTGTGAGATTAATACCAGGTGAGCGATGCAGGCCCATTGGGCCTCTTGTTCCTCTCCTGTTACAGTGGTGCCTGCAGTGACCAACCCCGATCTGGGCATGTGTTTTTCCTCTCCTGTTACAGTAGTGGTGCCAGTGACCAACCCCGATCTGGGCGTGTGTTTTTCTTCTCCTGTTACAGTAGTGGTGCCTGTGACCAACCGCGATCTGGGCGTGTATTTTTCCTCTCCTGTTACAGTGGTGCCTGTGACCACCCCTGATCTGGGCGTGTATTTTTCCTCTCCTGTTACAGTGGGGCCTGTGACCAACCCCGATCTGGGCGTGTATTTTTCCTCTCCTGTTACAGTAGTGGTGCCGGTGACCAACCCTGATCTGGGTGTGTATTCTTCCCTCCTGTTACAGTGGGGCCTGTGACCAACCCCGATCTGGGCGTGTATTTTCCCTCCTGTTACAGTGGTGCCTGTGACCAACCTAGATCTGGGATGTATTTTTCCTCTCCTGTTACAGTATTGGTGCCTGTGACCAACCCTGATCTGGGTGTGTGTTTTTCCGCTCCTGTTACAGTAGTGGTGCCTGTGACCAACCCCAATCTGGGCGTGTATTTTTCCTCTCCTGTTACAGTAGTGGTGCCTGTGAACAACCCTGATCTGGGCGTGTATTTTCCCTCCTGTTACAGTGGTGCCGGTGACCAACCCCGATCTCGGGGTGTCTTTTTCCTCCTGCTACAGTAGTGGTGCTTGTGACCAACCCCGATCCGGGCGTGTATTTTTCCTCCTGTTACAGTGGTGGCTGCTGTGAACACCCCCGATCTGGGCGTGTATTTTTTCCTCTCCTGTTGCAGTGGTGCCTGTGACCAACCTAGTTCTGGGATGTATTTTTCCTCTCCTATTACGGTAGTGGTGCCTGTGACCAACCCCGGTCTGGGCGTGTATTTTCACTCCTGTTACAGTGGTGCCTGTGACCAACCCCGATCTTGGTGTGTCTTTTTCCTCCTGTTACAGTAGTGGTGCTTGTGACCAACCCCGATCTGGGCGTGTATTTTTCCTCTCCTGTTACAGTGGTGCCTGTGACTAACCCTGATCTGGGCGTGTATTTTCCCTCCTGTTACAGTGGTGCCTGTGACCAACCCCGGTCTGGGCGTGTATTTTCACTCCTGTTACAGTGGTGCCGGTGACCAACCCCGATCTGGGCGTGTATTTTTTCCTCTCCTGTTACGGTGGTGCCTGTGACCAACCCTTTTTTCAAGCATTTTGTGTACACTTGACAAGGGGTTACCCGAGCCAGGGTTGTAAATTAATACAGTAGTTGTGTCTTCGTAGGCGAAGACTTAGTAAAGGAGGGAGGAATGTATCAGAATTGGACTGGGTCGATCATCGGCAACCAGGTAGCTCAATTGGTAAAGTGTCCATCTAGAGTTTGGAGGTTCCCAGGTTCGAACCTAGGTCTGGCCGTGAATTTTTCCTCTCCTGTTACATTCGCAAGAAAGAGTCTATGTATACCTGTCTCAAATTTTTCTAGGTCAAGGTACTCGTGTATAATTCCTCCCTGAAGACCCCCTGAGTGCTACCACTCTTGCCAACAAGTATAATTTATGTATGTAAATACATTTTGTTTCATAATTGTTGTAAAATAAATATAGATTAATGATTTTTTTTTAACTAAGTTCTATTATGATGATATAATTTGATCTACCGTGACAAATTTTTACCAATTCTAAAGCCACAGGCCCAATTCCCAAAATAGGTAGAAAAAGCCCTGAAGGTATGATTTCTCTGTCATCAACCTAGAGTTTGAAAAATAGCAAAATGTCATGATGTTATAATGATCAAAAGGAACATGATAACATTGCAGATGTACAACATGACGTACCAACTGGTGCTGTTTTGTTCTGTATAGTACTTCAGTGTACATGAATTTCTCATTCTAAGTTGTATATCTTGACATGACTTTTTATAATCATGGGAAATTTAAAAAGCCGTAGAAGAAATAAATCCAAGGATATGGAAATAGATAACACGTACCTGATGATGGTATAGCTCAGCAGTGGTTAAAGGGATTCATACTTGCCAACCTTTTGAAATTCCCATGATTTGGGTTGGTTTGGTTTAGTATTGTTTAACGTCCTATCAACAGCTATGGATAATAGCCATTTAAGGACGGCCTCCCCTATGTGCAAGATGCATGCATGTAGTGTATGCGTGTGTGTGTGTTTTGGGAGTCTGCGATATGTTAGTGTTTGTATCCTTGTGATAGCGTGGAACTGATGCCGACTTTGAAATGCTACCTCACTGAAACCTACTGCCGAAGACACCCAGCAGGACACCCCACCCGGTCACATTATACTGACAACAGGCAAATGAGTCGTCCAACTCCTAAATTGCTGAGAGTTAATTAAGCAGGAGTAGAAACTACCATTTTTACAGACTCTGGTATGTCTCGGCCAGGGGACAGAACCCAAAGCCTTCCTCACAGTGGCGAACGCTCAACTAAAGGCCAAAAGTGAGGCATTGTCAAGGGAGACATTAGGAAGAAAAATGTTGTTTAGAAAGAGGAGAAAAAATACCCCTAGAGAAAAATATAAATTTAAAATGGCTTTTTTTGAGTGTTTCCTCAAGTAGAAATCATTAATCTTAGAATATAAGAATAGTTTTTTGATTCATTGGTTTGAAATATACTCTTGAAAATTGAAGAGTCCAAAATTGGGAGTCACCATTCAGTATGGGGAGAATTGGCAAGTAAGGGGATTAAGTAATGTTTGAAAGTTTAAAAAGTAGTAAGGTATTCTTATAATTACCTGATGTAACGATTATTTAAAAATAGCCAGTGGATGTTTCTACTCCTTGTGTTACTTCTCAGTGTGCCAGAAATGGAGACGTAAGGAGTACACAGATCCTGATAGGTCAGATCAAGGCCTCGTCCAAGAATACTTACAAGAAGATCAACGTACGTGACGAGGACAGGATCACACCACTTCATTATGCTGCCCGCTATAACCACAAGGCTGTTGCCAAACTCCTCGTCGACAATGGGGCAGGTAGGTGTCGCTTAAATCTATACCATATTTATCAAGTCTAAAATGGAAGTAAAAACATGAAAATCTTGTATAATGAATACATTTACCATGTTTCTTTAAGGATTAAACTGTTAATGCATGTCAGATATCTTTGTATTTTGCTGGTGTTAATAAACAATTTCCATTGTAAATATCACATTGCATTATATCATTACCAGATCCCAACTGCCGAGACTCAGAAAACCTGACACCCCTCCACTATGCTGCCCGTTACCGCCGTCAGCGACAAAAAAACACAGACACAGACGATGACGATGATGTATGTAGTTACAGATAACAGATAGACTGGACTAATGTGTATTTTGTGTGCTACATATCTATGCAGCCAATTGTTAAGTATATATAATTTACAGCAGATGTGTCTCAGTTTGAACAAAACTGGCTCTGATGGACTTTTGTTATGTAAATGTCCAAAAACTGTTAAATAACACCTTGCCAGTTATTTCCTTCACGTTTGTCCTGATGTAGCCCCCTCAAAGCAGTACATGTATATTTTCCCCTTGTGTGTGCCTATAAGCAGTACATGTGTATTTTCCCCCTTGTGTGTGCCTATAAGCAGTGCATGTGTATTTTTCCTGGCATAGCATCCTCTAAGCTGTACATGTATATTTTCTCCTTGTGTAGGCCCCCTGAGCTGTTCATGTATAGTATATATCCCTTGTGTAGACCCCCTGGGATAAACATGTATAGTATCTCTTGTGTAGGCTCCCTGAGCTATACATGTATATAATCCCTTGTGTAGCCCCCCCCCCCCCCCCCCCCGAACTATACACGTATATTATCCCTTGTGTAGACCCACCTGAGCTATACATGTATATTGTCCCTTGTGTAGACCCCCCTGAGCTATACATGTATATTATCACTTGTGTAGACCCCCCTGAGCTATACATGTATATAATCCCTTGTGTAGCCCCCCCTGAGCTGTACATGTATAGTATCCCTTGTGTAGACCCCCCCGAGCTGTACATGTATAGTATCACTTGTGTAGACCCCCCTGAGCTGTACATGTATATAATCCCTTGTGTAGCCCCCCCTGAGCTATACATGTATATTGTCCCTTGTGTAGACCCCCCTGAGCTATACATGTATATAATCCCTTGTGTAGCCCCCCCCCCCCCCGAACTATACACGTATATTATCCCTTGTGTAGACCCACCTGAGCTATACATGTATATTGTCCCTTGTGTAGACCCCCCTGAGCTGTACATGTATAGTATCCCTTGTTTAGACCCCCCTGAGCTATACATGTATATTATCACTTGTGTAGACCCCCCTGAGCTATACATGTATATAATCCCTTGTGTAGCCCCCCCTGAGCTGTACATGTATATTATCCCTTGTTTAGCCCCCCCTGAGCTATACATGTATATAATCCCTTGTGTAGCCCCCCCCCCCCCCCCCCCCGAGCTATTCATGTACATTGTCCCTTGTATGTATGTTATGCCTAGAGATATAACCTGTAGAATATTATTTTGGTATTGTTAGGGCCCAGAACTGCCAGACAACACACCCCAGGATGACAGTGCCCTGGTTGATAACAGTGTGATCAGTTATCTGGTACAAAATGGTGCTAACATCAACAAGCAAGATAAATATGGCCAGACTCCGCTTCACTATGCAGCCATGCGCGGAAACGAGTTTGCTGCCAAGGAGCTCATGTCTTACAAGGATATTGATATTGAGGTGAGTGACTTAAAACAAAACAGCTACTGACTTACTGAACATTATTGTCTCTGGAATGAGTTCTTACAGTGGAGGAAGTCTTCTAGTCTAAAATAATATTATACATTTAGTAATATATTTTATCACATACCTGTTGAATCTTGTTATAGTAATACATTTGTTGAGCAATTTTAAGACCATGAAATACAACGTTCTGTATTGCACTTGTGCAATACGGAATGTTGTATTTACCTACTAACGGGAACTATTTTTTATGGGAATCCCCTTGTCATGGTGAACTGAAAAGTTCCCGGTATTTGCAAAAAAATATCAAAGTTTATAAAATCTTTGTATTGATCTCTACCGAATATGGAAGGTATGTGATAAAAGCAAGACCACACACTTGTGTTTTTCTAACGAATCAGAAAGCACTCATTTATTGCGCGGACGTATATATTCACTTGTGCGCTCTGCGCACTCGTGAGTATATTTGTCCGCGCAATACAATTCGTGCTTTCTGATTCGTTAGAAAAACACAAGTGTGTGGTCTTGCATATGTATTGCACAGAGATAGACTCTATTAACATGACAGATAGCTAGTTCACATTGCTGTGTATTGATAGACTCTATTAACAAGAGTGATAGCTAGTTCACATTGCTGTGTATTGATAGACTCTATTAACATGACAGATAGCTAGTTCACATTGCTGTGTATTGATAGACTCTATTAACATGACAGATAGCTAGTTCACATTGCTGTGTATTGATAGACTCTATTAACATGACAGATAGCTAGTTCACATTGCTGTGTATTGATAGACTCTATTAACATGACAGATAGCTAGTTCACATTGCTGTGTATTGATAGACTCTATTAACATGACAGATAGCTAGTTCACATTGCTGTGTATTGATAGACTCTATTAACATGACAGATAGCTAGTTCACATTGCTGTGTATTGATAGACTCTATTAACATGACAGATAGCTAGTTCACATTGCTGTGTATTGATAGACTCTATTAACATGACAGATAGCTAGTTCACATTGCTGTGTATTGATAGACTCTATTAACATGACAGATAGCTAGTTCACATTGCTGTGTATTGATAGACTCTATTAACATGACAGATAGCTAGTTCACATTGCTGTGTATTGATAGACTCTATTAACATGACAGATAGCTAGTTCACATTGCTGTGTTATTGATAGACTCTATTAACATGACAGATAGCTAGTTCACATTGCTGTGTATTGACAGGTGACAATTTGACTCCTGAGTTGTCAAGACTGTGAGTTGACTCATGACCCTGACCTTGGCAGACTGTTGTTTTATATGACCTTGAATGACATTTGCAGACTGTGGACATGCAAAAGATGACTGCCCTCCACATGGCTGCTACCCACAATCAAGTGGAGATCACCAAACTGCTGATTGATGCAGGGGCTCCCCTTCGTTGCCAGGACGATGAAGACTCGACCCCCCTCCACTGCTGCTGTAGTGAGGGAAACATTGATATTGTCAAGCTCCTCTTCGAGGCAGGCTCTCGACAGGATGGCTGGGTTACCATTTCAAACGTAAGTTGACTCAATTGTGAAGTCTTAATCTCTAAATAAACATATTTTTACATACCTCACATTGTGAAGTATAAATTGAATTACTTTAAGAGTCTGGAAAACGTTTGAAACAGATATATTTATATGATCTGTAGAAATAAATGTCTGTATTTACTGTTCAGATGGTGACTGACAGAGACGAGTATTTCTGTAGAATCTGTATAAATGTCTGTGTTTAGATGGTGACTGACAGAGACTGTGACCAGAGCACCTGTCTACATATGGCTGTGGAGAACGGTCACTATGACGTAGTCAAACTCTGTCTGGAGAAGCGAGCAGATGTTAACACACCTGCATCTAACTACATGAACCCCATCCACCTGGCATCAAAGGCTGGAGACATTAAGTGTCTCAAACTGTTGGTGGAGCACCATGCCCGAATAGATGCCCTCAATGACGTACAGGCCACGCCCCTCCACATCGCGTGCGCCTTCAATCATGTAGAGGTGGTAGAGTACCTGATAGAGAGGTGAGTCTTAACCGGCTCTGTATTCCCTAATACAATAGTCTACTTAAACTACAGCTAATCAAAACATCACTTACCTGATAGAGAGGTGAGTCTTAACCGGCTCTGTATTCCCTAATACAATAGTGTACTTAAACTCCTGCTAATCAAAACATCACTTACCTGATAGAGAGGTGAGTCTTAACCGGCTTTGTATTCCCTAATACAATAGTGTACTAAAACTACAGCTAATCAAAACATCACTTACCTGATAGAGAGGTGAGTCTTAACCGACTCTGTATTCCCTAATACAATAGTGTACTTAAACTA